ACCATAATGTAAAACCTTAGMATTGTAATACAGTTCTGTCTAATTCAACAAACATAAATACATATTCTTTATTCAAATATTTTTAGGCGCGGTTGAAGAAACGAAAACCAACTACGAAAGGAAGCAAATTTAATAATGACAGTTTCACTGATACATCATCTGACGTAAGTATTAATTTAATAAGTACATAAATGTAAATATGACCTATTCTTAAATAAAAGATTTTTGATGGAAGTTCAATGAACCAATTAAAAGTTTGACACCAAGTGTTAATGCACCATCACCAATGAATAACAGTGTAGGTATACCAAGACAGTCATCGTCACCTAACGTAAGCATTARTGAATGAAGTACATATTTATATATATAAAAATATACATATTCTTCATTAAAATATTTTGGTTGGCAGTTCAATGAACGAAGTAAAAGATTGACACCAAGCATTAATACACCATCACCATTTAATAACAGTAGACCAATACTAAGCCGGTCATTGTTACCTGACGTACCTAAGCATTAATTAATCAAGTACATGCATGTAAATACATAGTTTTTAATTATATATTTTTGACTTCAGTTTCTAAGAGTCGGACCATCTACTAGTTATCATACAGAAGACCAKTCAAATGATGCGATGAAGAAATTGGTGGACAAGACCACAGTCATGTTAATGTTCCCGTCGGTGGGCCCCTCTTTTGAGTGGGCCCAGGGAAAATGTCCCATTTGTATTTCCATAAATATGGTCCTGACCGTACGCGGCCTCCGGTGGAAAAATTAGAAACCCATCTTCTGAGTGTAGATAGAGCTAATAAAATAATTGGACCATTGGTCTATATTTAGAAAAGTGAAAAAAAAATATATAGTTCAATGAATAATTTCACCTGGCAATGGAAATTTTTTTTTATCATGTAGCGATATGATTTTGGAGAAATCAAGGGCGCCCGCAGGATAAAATCCCACCCGGGGCAAGAWCAAAATTATTATTTTAAATCTTAATATATTTTATTCTAAAATAGCATAACCTACATTAAACTGAAAAAACAACATTATGTCATCACATAAGGCCTTTTATTAGTAGGTTTACAATACTATATTAATATTATTTGAATATATGTTAATGTAGATGTCACAAATTAATTATATTTATATTAATCATCAAATAAAAATTGTATGCGTCTTCAATAATTTTTTGTTTTTGTTTTTTAACAATGTCTTTATGTATATACAATAAAGCTAAGCCATTTAATCTGTCTTCAGATATTGAATTACGTATCCATGTCTTTAACCTTTTTAATGAAATGTAAAAAATATATATATTTTAATGATGAATGAAATACCTGAATAGAATTTTTTATTTATAATTATATTTACAATTATTTACAGTTAAAATATACCTGAATGACCTTTCAACACTACAAGTTGTTTCTGGAAGAGAAATTGCTATCATCTCACACATTTTTATAGCCGGGAGTAATTCGGGTTCTTTTAAAACATCTGTAATCCTACCAGTAACCGGAGTTGCCCGATTGCGGCCCGAATTCAGGTAGTCGTATTTTATCCCAAATTTAAGTATCCCGATTGCGGCCCGTCCAAACACACATTGGTTCACAAAATACCTTATAATTAATATATATATATATATAATATGTTTAAACACCAAATAATAAAGTATTTCAAAATTATTATGAAACAAGTATAAAGTATAAAAAGTATTTAAATACATGGCA